GCCACTGACAGCGACTAAAGCGCTGCGCCACCACCACCCGATATCTTCAACCCTTTGATCTAATCAAAAATACTGCACAATTAGTATATAGTCTTCGACAGCGGATGGGCACTATGCTTATTTTTTAGTTCGTTGTGTACCAATGTTGACATGACAATAGATCGTGATGGTGTGCTAAGCGCACCTTTGATGGTCCGTCAAAAGCGTTTCTCCATAGGCTCAAGGCCTCGGTGTCGTTCGTTTTAGTATTTTTTCGACAGTTTTTTTTCTGATTTTAGTGTGTGTTTGAGAAATACATGGACCCTGTTCGTTTCTGTGTTAAATCTCTGTGGAGTGCCTAGGCCATCATCTTATTGTATTAAATACGACAAAAATGAGATTCGAATCGTTTTATAATAAGTTATTACCCTTTTTCTGACGCTAGACCATGAACTCCTCGCAAATGCATCGATTATATAATGAGGTAATCAGCTTTATCAAGGAAAATTCCGAGGCCACTTTTGATTGGTGAGTTTTGGATTCTTATCTGTTAAACAAAAATTCAGCGGTATGCCCTGTTCATCGGCGGATGTTCGTTCTTTTGTGACAACAGCCTGCACGAAATTGCAGTCGACCAACCTACGTTTGGTACTTTTGGATAATATTATTCGACGAAAACCTGGTAAGCCCTCTTCATATGCTCTAACGATGAGGAAAACAGATGTTTTCATTCCCTTTGTCGAATCCCTCGATTGGAGTGAGTGGCTAATTAATCTAAACGATTCCCTTTCAGTCATACATTTGTTGGTATCAGAGTTTTCTTCACTTTCCAAGTATGAGATTTATTCTTTCTAATAGTGGTTAAAGAGATGTGAGCATGGACAGAATATCTGTTGTGACGGATTTGTGCTTGTGCGCTCAGTTGTTGAGCTTTTGTCTTTCCAAATCAACTCTGAATGAAAACTCCCTAAGTGAATTATTCAACCCATTGAAGTCTGTTTTGCGTGAGTTATATACGCACTCTTTCAAATTTGCCCGTAGAGCGAGTGACGGCGATTGACTGCCTAACCGCCTGCTCAACCTTGATTATCACTATCATCCAGTGTCAACATTCCGCAGCATGTACGCAACTGGTTAGTCCGTTTTCCGTTTGTTATTAGACAGTTTTCTGAATTTCTCCGTTGTATTCCATGTTCTGAACCGGTGTCGAGTTCTGCCTATTTCACTATAATCAAAGAGTTCTTGCAAAATGACGGACACCAGCTTCCCAAATTGGCTCTCGTTCATTCTTTTCTTCGCATGTCGTCTGATGACCTTTGGTCTTCCCTCCTTCACGATGAGAGGGCATTTCCCAGGTTGGCTCTGGAGTTCTATTTTTCCCACAAACCTGATTCTGGCGCCTACAACACATTGGAGACACCAGTGTTGTTATTTTTGTCTAAAATCGGTCAAGTTTTGAGCTCTCGTAGCAGGTAAGCATATTTGTATCAGTGACTGATCATAACATGTGAATAGTATCTGTTGCATGCGGTGTGAAGCCCAAATGTTGGAACTTTTCAACTTTTCTATCGAACTGAAAGGATCTCCGGTGGCTGTGAGTCATGTCCACCCATGATTTCTAACTTCCATTCTGACAGGTTATCCGCCATGCGTGCTTAGATATTTGCACAAATGTGTTGAACGTGCATTTTACCTGTTGCTCAAGTAAGTTTAACCTGTTATGCTAATACATTTTTATCGTTTCTTCAGTATGTGATTCGTCCAATGATCACGGTCCATGTCCAAGATTAGCCAGCCTGGTTAACACCATTGCTTCCTGTTCGTGGTTTGCATCCGGAACGTTGGCTTTCCTCTCCCGTGCCATATCAACAATTTTAGGGCGAACTGGACACAGTGCACAGTCAATAATTGAGTTTCTTTCAAACGGTGTACGACAGGATGTTTCGACACTAAATGAGAATTCCTTCAAGGCCTTGGCTTCATATTTGCTTTATTGTGCTTCGGATCCTTCCTTAAGTTTGTATGTACGTTATTTGCGGTCAATTTTCATGTGTTTTGTTCGGTCAGGTCACATTGACATGCTTTTTGAGTTCCGAACTTTGCGTTGCGAACTTATTGTCGTTTTCTAATTTGGTATGATGGTGTCATTTTTTAAAGGTACAGATTATGATAGCTATTGAGTAATGCAATTTAGCAGATGGTATAAAAGAAAATGAATTTCACCCACATTTTACTCCTCAAGACTATATCTTATCCTCCTTGTTGGTATATGCTTTCTCTTCACATTTATAAATGTAGATAATGGGATCATGTGGTCATTCCTTCACCAATTAGTCACCGACGGCTTACTCTTCTTTCTAGGTCTCAGAAATATTTGTTCGGATTGCTGAGAAACTGTCCACAGAGAGCTTAGAATTATTGCAAAATTGGTTCGATCGCCTGGTTCGGATGTCCAATGTAGAATGTCGACGGTACTCGACGCTCATTCATCAGGTGACTTCCATTGTATGGTATTTTAAAAATTCATGTGTTGAGTTGTTTTAGTGGTAAGCGTGCACGTTTACTGTTTTCGTTCCAATCACTCAGATTGCAACCGATCTGATACGAGAACATAATGTAAACAATTTCCGTTCATTTTTCAGTATCTCTTACCGAAGTTGGCAGCGGCTGATACGCAGTATATCGTGCAACTATTAGAGTTCCCATTTCAAGGTATGCTGATGAAGTTTATCTGCTGAATACTTAAGTTCCCCGATATTTGTTCTATCACATGACAGTTTCGAATAGGCAGTGGTCCTTATTGAACATTTCTCGTCTGGATTTGCCTTTACCCTTAAATTTTATGAATTGATCATCTCAAATAGAACAACGAGTGGCGAATAAGCTCGTTTTCAGTGATTCGTACTCATGCCAAATACATCACAATAAATATTACGCAGTTTATATATAAATCAGTATTCAACCATAAAAATGCAAACAATTGTTTTGGGAAACAGAAAATAACCTCATGGGTTATCTGGGGCTAATTTCGTCTTGGGATCGGATGTGGAATTCTCGATGATCACATAATTGTTAGGTCATCCGATCGTTGGGACCACTCGGAATATAGGGTGTGTGTG